TGTAACAATTTTATTCGAATGCAAAGGTGCAACTAATTGATAGAATCATACCGACCCCTTAGCCATCTCTCTTGGCCATTTTTATTTGATGACTTGGACTTCATATAGGCCTCTCGGCCACATACCCCGGCCATCGTTATTTGATGATTTGGACATCATATTATGGACGACCGATCGACCTATCTCTTAGTCATATTTATTTGATGGCTAAAACTATTTATCATGTCGAGTTAGTCACGTATGATGACCGCTCTCGACTATCCCCTCAACAGATGGCGGCCATCACGGTTTCACACCTAGGTCGAAGGGCTCACCCTTTTGCTTCATTTTGCGGGCATCCGATGTATTCTTTTTCCCTCATTAAGATTTTTTCCCACAAGGTTTTTTCTAGTGAGGTTTCTAACGAGGCATCTCCCCAACGTGGACAAAAGGTGTCGGCCCTTATTGAAGACATCACGAGACGTGCACTATTCTACTCCTCTTCACCTCACTACATTCACCTTAAGGAGTGGGGGGGGGGGGGGGGGCTGGAATAGCGGGGGACTTGGTGCCTCAGTTAATCGAAGAAGCACAAATTCAAGTTTTTCATGAGATTTGCCACATATACCAATGTCATCATCACATCATATGCAGATTCAGTTGCCACAACAGCAAAGTACATACACATAGACCCTTGACCTCAAGATAAGTGGTGATGGCCTCTAGCCAGCGACCTTTGGATGAGAATTCTCCCATAGGGTTGCCTCAGTCAAGGCTCGCCGATGAAATCTGATCAGGGGATTGGGAATCCAGACGAGTCGCCTCGACGACCACAATAGTTTGCTCACCAGACGACGACAGATCAGCACACAGATCTACGCTCTTTCGCCTCGAGTACTCTTGAGTTGAGGAGTGGGGGACTGCTGATAGAGTATATATACTTGGACCCCCGGGTCTCACGACTATTGAGCCTAGACAGTGGCCCACATACGCTTACCGCATGTCATTTGTATTATTGTTCAGTTCATATATCATTTGTATCTACTAGATTATACTTTTATGTAGTCGGGCCTATCGTGCCCATATTAGTGGCCCAAGCCCGTTATTTCTTTATAAATACTCTTCTTGGAGCTCTTGTAAACCTATGTCACAAATTCATCAATCAATACAACACTCCACTATTCATCTTCTTCTCTACTCCTTTAATCTCTTCATTTTATATACTTTGGATACCCTATTATCCATCAAGGACCAAGTATGTTTTGTCCTAAAGTTGGACTGATTTAGTGCTATTAAGATAATGAAAATTTCCCTAAATAAGAGTACATGAGTCATATTTCAGGAAGAAAACAATGTAACTCCTATTTCATAAAATTTGCAATGTTTTACTCTTATTTATGATTGTTTTTAGGAATCCTTTGTGATGGGAAAAACTGAATCCTAATCACTAAAGCTATGAGAATTAAAATTCTCCAACTCAGTCATCAATGAAGAGTGGGGACCTTCATAGCTAAGGCCATGTGGTTGGCTATCGTGCCACTGTATAACACTTTTAACCTGCTCAAATACTTGTCCTCCCCTGAAGGCGTGACCTTTGGATAGTCTCTGAAATGGCAAGTTTGTTAAAGAGCTTTGATCTAGTCAACATGTGGGCAGAGGAAGAAACAAACATAATATGTTTATTCCTTTAGAAGTTATATGCTCTTGAGTTTCATACTAACAATTAAATAGTAATATGAAATGCAAAATGTTATGCTCTATTTTTCTCGATTCACAACCATTAGTGAGTTCTCAATCTATATATAATGAATACTACACATTCAAAAAATCATGACCACTTTATCATACTTAATCCAAGTAACATCAAGGACATCTTCGCAAAAGGATAACACAGGAGTAATGGAACCTCTATAGATATTGAAATGACAAAATTTGAGTCATCACAAACACTCTCCCACGGGGCTAGAGGTATAACACAATGAGTCACATACTTCATCATCCCCTTGGAATGGTAAACAAATGAGATCTGGGGTTGCACCTAGGTCTAAAAAATATACTAGCTAGCTAAGTACTCTACGCATACGCGAGATCGAGCTTATTTCCACACGGAAAAGTGTTACTCAATACAACCTCACCCCTGCGGGACAAACGCATGCCGCATAATTGTGTGGTATGTGTTTAGAGTTCAAGGTTTATGATTTACAAGATTATCCATTTTTTGACTTATTGTTGTTATAGGTGAGTGAGAACTAGTCTCAATCAGAAGAAGCTCAATGGAAGAGGCTAGAAGTTGAGGTCGAAACCACATAATGAAGAAAGGGGTCGAAAGCAGAAGCCGAGGACGAGAGATGAGACCTTGGTTAAAGGCCTCGGTGACTGGTGGAAGAGGTTTTTTGACCTCGGTTAAATGAAGGCTACTCTCAACCATTTTTTTGGTGACTGGTGGTCGTTGGAGTTGAATAAAGGCTGACCTCAGCCATATCATTAGTGAATGGCGTCCATATTGCAGTTGAATAAAGATATGCCTCAGTCATTTTTATTGAATGACATCCATTTCATGTGAATGAAAACGACCATAGCTATTTCTTTAGTTAATGGATTCCATTGCAGTTGAGTGAAGATTGGTTTTAGCTAGACGAGGTCAAACGGTCCAGGCCAGTAAATGAGGCAAACACCTTATTAAGGTTGAAGGCGCAGAACAAAGGAAAAACTCTAAGGATGAATGTAGAGGAACACATAGAGGAGATCAATTGTTCTATGATGGATCAAAGATCATTAGATTGAAAATGGTATTCACATTCTTGCTTAACTTTGAGGCTTTAATGTACTTTCCCCTCTTCACTGTGATTTTTTTTCTTAAAGGGGTTTTTCCTCATAAGGGTTTGATGAGGCACCACCTAATTCAATGGTGTTGGTTTCTCAGCCAAGGGAGGAGTTAATGAATCTAAAGAAGAGCCATGGGTGGTGGCCCTTCATACAAAGGTGCCACTACTCTTTTTCGTTTCACCTCGTCTTCACTCACTTAAAGGAGTGGGCCATTTGAGGACATGAGACTTAACAATCCCATCATAAGATAGAGTAAGATGGGAGACCTCTTGAGCTCGGTCATGAAGGAGTCAAGTTTAGACAAATAAAGCTAGATGGACCTTGGAAACAACATTGCATGTATGTTAATAAATCAACCAAGGAAGATGGTTTTAGAAAGTTATACTCTATTTCACCTTGAATACTCCGCCACACAAAGGGGATGATTCAAAACGACATTATGGGGGTGTTTGTATTTCGGCGGTGGGCAGGGAACACACTGCATTTGGCAGTGTTTGCAATTAGAAAAAATGGTGTTTGGGGTTAAAAACTATTACCCAAACATCCCCAATATATTTAATGTATTCGCAGAAATGCCACCAATCACCATAGCTAATTTTTTTATTCGTTGTAGTGCGCATTTTACTTGAAGTAATACACAAATTTGAAATTGTGTATATGTATGTGTATGTATGTACATACGTACGTATCTACATATGTATGTATGTATATATGTATAACAAGCTAAATAACCGGAAAACCAAATCAGCTCTAATTCTCTAAATGTCTCGAAGCATGTTTTCCCATGCATGCCCAATTAATTTGCATTCTTTGGTTTGGTTAATGATTCTAATTGAAGGTTTTACAATTGGAGTGAATTGATTTTGGACGATAAAATGGACTTTGATCCTTTAATACAAAATTATCACATTATTTCATTCCTTCCCTAACTAATCCAAATTTTATCAATTTCACACTAAAAGACAAAAGTTAGGCACAACATTTAATTGGGCCGTAGGAAGGCTGACATGTTTACATTTATACAATGGAATCATTGGGCAATAATCGAGCCCACATATCAACTGCACCTTTAGGATACTCATACTTTAAATACTTTAAATTAAAGGCGACTAGGCGAGTTAGGTGGTGTTTGGAACTGATTCTGCTTCTGCTTCTTCTTTAAAAGTAGAAGCAGAATCAGAATCAGTTTTCAGAAGCTGACACCTCTCAGAAACTGATTCTGAGAGTAAATTAGAGCTCCAGAAGTGCTTCTAGAATTTCACCCAAACACTTCAGCTTCTGCTCCCTGAAGGAGCAGAATCAGTTTTGAGAATCAGATCCAAACACCCCATTAGAAAAATATTTCGTTCCAATACAATATGATGGGGAATAAAATGTATTAAGAATGTTTTTACTTGAATTGAAATTTTCTGTTCTGATCTTCAAATTTGATATGATTTAATATGATCTATTTAAGGTGACAACTCCGGTACCCGTTTAAAAAATGGGGGTACCGTACCTACCATGCATTTGATTGGTCCAAATCATTAAATCCCTTTTAATTTAGATTTAAATAATTCAACTGCATGATTCTGATTGGTCCATGTGGACAAAGGTACGGTACCTTATGAGTACCATAGAATCTACCTCTATTTAAATATGATTTGATCAAGTCTAATATATTCGGATATGGTCTATTTAAATTTGGCCTGATTTGATTTGATATAATCAAATGGATTGAACGACCACTCTTACCCCAATAGTTGTTCCTATTTTCCTAAATGTGAGGGGTAAATTTAAGATAAAAGCTAATTTATGTTCAATTTCTTCTAACAATTAGATGAGATTAAACCAAACGGAATCACTGCACCATTAGTCTAGACAAAACATGATCAAAATTAGATTAGTATTGTGGAATTGCCGTTCATTCAAAACTAAATTAAACGGCAGTTTCATCTCTTTACTTTTTTCCCCACTTTTTCCTTTCTTTAATAACACAATTCTCAATAATAAGTCAATTTCTATTAAAAAGAAAATTTGTAAATAGGACCAAAATAGGATTATCATTATTATATTCTCAAAATAGGATTCATTCAATCATATTTTGAGAAGTTTTGACCAACTTATTCTTTAAGAGAAAGTAAATAAATAAACCATCCAACTATTAGCGATTTTATAATCAAGCTCTTGAATCAGAAGACTTACAAGTATATACCTTTCAACTCATTGAAAATTAAGCTATCAAATCCTTTTAACATGTTAATGCCAGTAAATTCTCATGTGAAAGTCATCATAAAAAGGGCTATTATTACTTAATTTCCTATGAATTGAGAATGTATTTGCAAGTTCTCAAGTTCACGGTCTGATTGCAGAGTCGGTGATGATTCAATGAATAATATCACCTGAATATGCTTAGTCCTATTTTTCACTTTAACTTATCAATGTTTCAGTGATTGACCAATTTCTATTAAACAATTTGCATACCAGTGTCGTCCTGCTGTTGGGGACCCTGTTCTTTCTCGTGATTCTCCATGCATTTCAGCAGATACTTGAAGGTCTCCGTCTCACACGGAATGGTCAGAGCACCACTGTGGTCAAACCCAAACTCCTCCTCCACCTTCTCCAGCAACACCTTGAACAGCGGATCACTGAGGTAGCTAGTCGGAATGATGAACCGCCGGAGCTCCGGCCCGACGTAAACGGCCAAATAGCCTCTCGGGACGCCGGACGGCGGGTCAGGGCTCTGGCAACTTTCTTCATCCGAATCGCAATAGGAGCTGCAGCTCATCAGCCTCTTGCATACCGCAGGAGATATCCCACTGTACGGAGGCGGCGGCGGCGGTGGCTGTTGGGAATTCGCCGGAGCAGAGGAGTGATCGCCGTTTTTGGGTCTCTTCTGACCCAGAGTGACGCTCTGCCACTTGTTCAGAATCTCTTTCAGCCTCACTATCTGTCGGATTCCGGTGACCTTGCCGCCGCTTCCCCTGTCTTCCATCTCTAGATCAAGAATATACAGTTCTTTTGTCTGTCTCCAAGATTGTATCTTTCATCACATCCGATCAGGCCTGTTAAAACCTGGTTTGAGAAACAGATGAATCTTACCCCAGTTGTTTAACTTTCCATATTAGGAATCCCGTGAATTTAAAAAAGATCTAGAATTATTAGTGGAAAATTCAAAAGTCAAAACTTTGGTTAATCAAGAAACATTTCATTTCATCTATAGCTGAAAGTAATTAATTAATCATTTAAAGACAATATTTTACAGAGATCTGTTGCCTTAGAATCAAGGCATCTTCATCCATGAGACTGTAATTAAGAATGAAAATGGTGATGAGGTTGATTATTTATAACAGCGTGTTTGGGTGATAGCAATTACTTTATGGGATTATTTTACATAATAATTTAGGATCAAAATATGATCAAAATTATTTATTTTTAGGTTATTTAAAAAAATAGAGTCAATTAGTTCATACAGGACCACATTAAAGATCAGATTTTTAGGAGATAATAGTTGAAGGTAATTTAAGGTCGTGGCACCCCACTTTTTGGATTATATTTGATTTTACTCTCCATTTTTAGAATTATTAATGAATGCAACCCATAAGACAAACTGACAAAGGTTATCTTCGCAAAACTAAAGTCGTTTTAACAAAACCTTGACCATTCGCAAACCTCGGTCCATTTGGGCGACCCGGGGGCCCAATGGGTGTCTCAAGAGCCCAATGGGCGGCCCAAAAGCGCAATGAGTGATCCAGTTGCATGTGGGCCGGAATCCAAGTCATGAGGTGGGCCTATACAGTACGAAGGCACGATGTTTCATGACTGGATAGCGCCCAAAGTAGATTATGGTAGTCTAGAGATGGGTGAGTGATTCAGGACCAACGGGAAAATCCAGTAAAACACTCTTAACATGGACTAGTAAAACCCAGGACCAAGAAAGTTCAAGCTAACCCTTATGGGTATGAGAGGGTGACTCAAGACCAGGAAAATGCAACTTAACCCTCATAGGATGGGTGAGTGATCTAGGGCCAAAAAATCCAATTGGAACATTCCTAGTATGGGCTATTTAATAAAACCTAGGACCGAGAAAGTCCAATTTAATCCTTTTATGTATGAGAGAGTGAGCAAGGGCCAGCAAAGCTCAATATAACACTCACTCGGTACGAATATAGGAGAGAGCTTGCGACTTAGATATTTGGGGTATATGTTCAGGGAAAGGGGTGGAGTCTGAGGACTACATCCGTCTTCTATTTGAAAAAAACAAATGACATTCGGCTCAGGTATTTTACTAGTTACTATGTGTATTATCTTGAGGTGAGGTGATTTAGATTATGATCTTATATACGAAGTATATGTATAAAAGAGAGATGCTCAGATAAACGGAGCCTAAAAAGAATGCACGTTGTGAGCTCCTTCTATATTTTAATTCAAAGATGATCAAAATATTGCACGTTTTATGTATTTAGCGTTTAGCGGATAACATGTTATAAATAGCGGATTTAGTTTAGCGAGTTTGACTAGCAAAATAAATTGGTGGGTTGTCAAAATATGTTTGATAATTTAGTTGTTTGGTAATAAAATTTTGTAGAAAATGACATATTTCAAAAGACTAACTTAAAACTCTCCTATTTGCAGTGTTTCTATTTTGCGGTTCCGTCCAAAAAACGCTAGGGCCGAACAAGTATTTACCAAACAACGTTTTCATTTATTGAAAACGCTAAAAGAGTCAAACTGTATTATTTTAGCTGAAACGTCATTTTCCAAACACCCCATTTTTCATTATATCTTAGCCATTTTCAACATGTTTAAAAGAACATAAACATCAAGTACCTTTGTATTCACCGGGACGCTAGATCATAGGCCTGGAGTTGTACGGGGAGATGAAGGCCGGAAAATTGACCGTGAGAGATGAAATTAAATACCTTCATTCAATTCATCAAATGATCAATTCTAAATATAACAATGATCAGAAGGAAGTTGAAATACATTCATATTGATGTATATAGATATAAGAGATCTATAGGAGGAGTTCCTGAGCCACGTGAAAGGGAGGGCTTTGTCGGATGGGCGTTACATGTGATTTCTTTAGAAAATAAGAGATTTTAGAAGCGCAAAAAGTCAATATTTTTTTAATGAAAGAATTCAATATCTAATATATGTATAACTATTTAATTAATTAGTGGTTCACGTAATCCAGATTCCAGACAATATTTTCTCTCTCTACTTGCGCCTCCTCCGATCCTCCTCTCATCTCCTTCTACATAGTGATTCAATTCACAATTCCTATGCCAATGCATATCCACTAGTATGCTTATTATTAATTCCACACAAACATTTTATAAGTCATACTCCGTTTTATCTGGTCTTTGCACAAATTTTGAATGTCATTTGGTGTAAAAGTAATTGGCCTCAAATATAATACTTCCTATGTCTTGTAAAACTAAATTAAAATTGACTTGCACGTAAAATAATAAAATAAAATTTGTATAGTTGTGATGTGTGTAGAAGAAAGTGAAATAATATCAGGCACACACGAAGTATTTGTTACTATAAATGAAAATGAGATTTTTTTTTGAAACGGCTAAGTAAGAAAATTGGCGATGTTTGATGTGTAATATTTTTGTCAATTCTTACCAAGTTCACACCATTTTTGGGAACTTTAAAAACGTAAAATTAAAATCATGTTTTTGGTTACTTTATTTTTTTCATTTTATTACTGGGGCAGGGTTTAGGACAGCTCCTTGATGGGGGGGGGGGGGGGGGGTTTAATGGTGATGTTGGCACTAATGCATCATTGTAAGCAACTAATAATACACTTCAAGTTTGCACTATATGCATTATATTCATTTTTTGCTGACTTTAGGTGTGGGAAAATGTGCAGTGAGAATGTCTGCTTACTCTGACTAATTCGAGTTAGAAGCAGAAGAGTTGTGGAGACTCGATTCTTGTAATCACTGTTAGTGAAAAGAGTTTTCATAATATTCCTTTTGAGGGAGGACAAAATTTTTATCCCTTCTGATCCAAAGTGACCCTTAGATACTCTTTACACAACCCCCCTTCTCCTCTCGTGTCTATCAACCGCTTCATCAAATCAAAAGGTACTTCATAATGAGCTAAAAAAAATCTCTTCACTTATTATTCATAACATTATACTCCCTCCGTCCCTATATTATCTCTTCCTTTGACATTTCACACAAATTAAGATAGTGGGATTTGTGTGGTGGAGAGTTGTGCAGAGGAGAGAGAAATGTGTAAGAATGTGTAAGAATGGTTGTGAACCACAAATTCTTTGTCAAAAAGAGAAAGAGGAGATAATTTTGGGACGGACGAAAAAGGAAAGTTTGAAGATAATTCAGGGACGGAGGGAGTATTTAATAATTCTCTTCCCTCAAAGGTAGTAGTTTATTTTGACTAATAAAATGTTTCAACCAAAAATAAAAACAATTTTCCAATGATTAATTATTTATTATAAAATTGCAAGCAAGTCTCCCAAATCATTTGTGTCTTGCTGCTACAATCGCACACTGTGTGGGTGTTTGTATTTTGGCGGATTGGAGGCAACACGCTGCAAAATGCAGTGTTTGCAATTAGAAAAATATGGCGTTTTGGGGTGAAAAGCTATTACCTAAACACCTCCCATATGTACTTGTAACATTATAGTCAGCCTCGGTGATTCAATTATAAGTAGACAAGGAACCACAGATGATTTTTCATATTTGTGAAATTCTCTGCCTTAAGGCCTTCTTTTAATTTCATAAGATATTTTTCCTTAACATTAACAGTATTGAGGCTCAAGTATATTCTCACAAAAATTTACTACTTTGACACATCGATAAAAATGTTCTAAAAAGATAATAAAATTGGAAATTATGAAGGTCACTATCAGTTTATTATGTCTCATTTAATTTATAAAAAGGTTTGAATTTTGTAATAGAAAATTTTTGTCAAAATCCAACGACTTTTCCAACCGTCGTCACCGGTAGTGGTAGTTGGAGGTTGTAATGGGGCACGGGCTAACAATGGGATAGGAATTAGAGGTAAAAGAAATGTTTCTCAAGTAAACAAAGTTTAATCACAACTTAAAAATGTAAATTATTCATATTTTTATCTCCCAAAATTGTAGAGGGAATAATTTTTATCATCTATTAATACAATTACCGTTAGGGGTTATTTTAATTACAATTTCCACTATAAGTGAATAGATATAAGCAGTGTTTGAACCATCCTAGATCAAAGGTGTTCATGTGATCCAAATAAAAACATATAAAGATTAAATTAGGTTACGTGCAAGAAACGGGTCTAAAAAAATTAGACCCCAAAGTGGCAAAGTGTGAGTTCTATTAATAGTGTTTGAAAAAAACAAAACAATAATAAAACTAAAGAATAAAGCGATGACATGGTGTGCATCCCTTGTGTTTAGTTTATAGTACAAAATCCACCATACCTTATGGTATTGTCTGATTCTTTTCAGCTTTTCTTATAAAACTAAAATGCACCATCACACAGAAAAGAATAACACCATGTCTTTGAATCACAATTCACAACATATTTTTTGATACATACATTTGTTTACTATTAATAATGAGTTTAAATTATGGTTTATGTAAATCAATGCTGTTATATTTTCTACTCAGTTACGTTATACAAGCACATTTGAAAATGAACTCTAAAAAAATAACAATGGCTCAACCACCCACAATGCACAATTGAATGTGGCAGTTCTTTTGGGCAGCTTGTCAAGCTGCAGGCTAGCTTCATCTTTGAATGCTGTATTGGTATATTAAAGTGCTATACATACAACGATCTCAATTTGCTATGAAATAATAAACGAACAGATCGAGTTGAACCCACCCCATACTGAAGAAAATCATATTACAAATCGATTACATACAAGAATTGCAGGTATGCCTCTCCCTAACTAAACTAATTGAGAAAAGGTATCGGTTTTGTGTGTCATCCATGTATAGGGGTCATGCTCATCTTCTTTGTATCGTTCTGGTTTTATCGGATATCCCCGAAGGGGCCGAAAAAGGTATCCATTAAAAAATAGTTATGTACTACGGGGAACTTCTAATTGTGAACCCATAGTTGAATATTTTTTATGAAGTTTCCCTTTCAACTGCCTAATCTTAGCATCTACTCTAGCCGTGAACCCAATCTTGGTCTTTGATCTTGCTTTCGACCGCTCTCTTCTCCACATATTCCGATCCTCGACATCTTTCCCTAAGTATTTGATTTCTTGAATGATGTGATGATCCATAGGGTTGAAAGATCTCTGGTAGGCAATGTGGACAAGGTATGGGAGATTACATGTAATACTTGTCAAGAAAGTAGTGAGCCAATATATTGGTGCGGGTGCAAGAGCCTCTGTGAGAATTTTATAGGCATCTTTGGATATTTTTGGGGACATTTCACCATAGACTAAGAGTAAAATGTACCAAAAGATGATGCTGCCCCAAATGAGTACATGTTGGATCCACGTGAAGTGACTCATTGTTAGAGCAATCTGGCAGTTGACTGCCCAGACAACGCTAGTGAACATGGCAGTCCCCATGGCCGTCAAGTCAGCAGTCTGGCCTCCGGATCGAAAGGCTTGGTCATAGAAAATGACGAGGTTGAGGAAGAAGATGACGAGAGACGTATAGACTCCGTTTCCCATCCACCCGAATATTCTGTTCCAATCGAAGAATAAGTTTTTGGGGCCTTGCTGATATAATGCTGGAAACTGCAAAGTTTGGCTTTTGAGCTTTAGTGCCCAGTTTGTTTGGTACATTATTCTACAAAAACTAACTTATTTGACAGTATTAACTGACCACAGTAGTAATAATAAAGGAAAGTCCGCAAATGCACACCTAATTGATCTTGAATGTTTGTGTAAAAAAAGTTAAAAAACACAAACAAAAACTATTTTAATATATCGAGTACAGAAGTTCCTAGACATGGTAAAGGGTCAAGGAAGGTTATTCATATAACCATACTTGCCCTGTTAGATAATTTCTGCATCACACAACTTGTCTAAAATCCAACTCCATCACTCCATGGAAACTTTTATTCATATAACCATACTTACCTGTTAGACTTGCATTGTCAAATCTATATAATATTTGAATTTAAGTTTCTAATGAATATATAAAGAAATTTCCCTAAATAGGAATGAAAACGTTTGAGAATCCCAAAATAAGAGTACTATATGTTTTTATTCTATAAATGTGAGTAATTACTCTCTTGCTTGGAAAATATTGTCGTGTTTAAAGCCTCATAATGCCAAACTATGGCAGTCATTACTCCTATTTAGGAAGTATCAACATAGTACTCCTATTTTAAAATTCTCAAACATTCTTACTCCTATTTCGGGAATGTTCCCATATAAATATCACATTATATGCATGTGCCTTTGTGTGTAAGTGCATCTCCCATACTACTAAAATATATTTTGAAGTGGCCCTTTAATTTTTTTGTCCTGACATTTAAGACCAAAAAGGGCCAGTACACATGTTTATAAAATGTTAGAGGCCAATTTGTCCCTCAAACTAAACCTTAGGAGATGTTTTGCAGCTTTTCAGATTACAAATTGGGGAGCATGGTAAGTATTTTGATCCTTCACTTGTTTTGGATAATGAGATGAGGTCTCTGATTTTCCAAGAAGTGAAAGTCATCCCCTTGATTACTCACAATATGTCATTTAAGTTACTAACAATATGAAATTTAATTGACATCTATCTACTTTTTAATCTTCTGAATAATGATGGTAGCATTAGAGTGTGAGAGATTGTATAAACAACTTTTTAGGTGATTGAGAAATTGCATTTTTCCAAATTAACATTGAAGAAGTATGTTGCAAGTATTTTGAACCAGGTTTTACCCCACAAAAGAGGGTCTTGAGGTGTGTGAGGAAGCATAGAATTATAGATTAGCTAATAGCAGGGAAGGTGTTATAGGGGTTAACTAACCTGTAAGCAGACTTGCGAAGACACATCCTGCTCAAATACTCCAAGTGAAATGACAGGCAAGGAAGTAAGAACCACATTGAACAATAGCATATACCAATCATGATAAATTGACTGCCCAGAGAAGCCAGTAAATGCCTCAAAGTAGAAGAGTGTGAGGCCAAATGCAATATTTTTGTAGAAGAAGTAGCATATCTGAGCAGACAAGGAAATAGAGCATCAGTGATATCAAACCAAAAAGCATTGTCACATGAGAACTGGAGTCCAATATTAAGTTAGTTAATAATACCATCTGAGCAATCCGTTTGTAGCACCAGTGGCCATGTACAACGAGGAGTCTCTCCAAAAATGGGAATTGTGCAATAGCAAAGTCACTTGCCATCACAGCCTGTAACAAACTATTACTTGAGAATGATTTAAATCTGAATTTGTTTATATTTTCCAGGAACAAAATAATGATAAGCAGAGAAAAACAATATAGAGTTTCACAAAAAAAATCACTTGTAGTCCAGTAGACAGTAGTTCTGTGACTATTAGGTCATTCTCACTTTGAATGCATAACTTCCATTTTTTTTACTTTTGGTGGATGAATAAGTGGTCTAGAAGGAACAAAAGTGACAAGAAACCCATAGTGTGACTGTGTTCTAGAACTCGCTAAGCGCTGGTCGGGCGGTTAAGGGGTGTCTAGCGCCTAGGCACCGACTAGGCCGGTTTTTTTACTATTCCCTCATCAAAATTTTCAAAAATAAATAATAGTTCATAATAATTAAACGTACCTGCATTCCTTCCGCCCCACTGATTCCAACACCAATATCTGCTTCCTGAATCATTCCAACATCATTTGCACCATCACCGATTGCTAAGGTTGTTTTACCTGTACCCTCTTTAACTAACCTTGTCACCTATTATGCAACCAAATAACATTTTAAAAAGAGGCGCACACACACATATTGAGGTAAAAGAGAAATGTTAAACGTTCGGAGGAATCCTACCAAAGCCTTCTGCTTTGGAGAGACACGACAACAAATGACAGATGCACAATCAACAGCTAAGTTCAAAAAATGATGCTTCATGTCATTTTCCAAGGCATGAGTTAGTGTTTTCCCATCAATAATTAGTGCGAATGCGGCATGTGGGTCCTTTTCAAGTTTCACCATTTGGGAAGCATTTGTCATTTGCAACAAAATATTCTCCTTGACAACCTGAGTAGGGACAAACAAAAATGACGACTGCCATTAATTATAATAAGTTTCCTGACAATATTACATTATCATTTTATAAAAAAATTACCCCTTTGGATTCTTTGTCAGTTGCATCTGCATTTGATGATGAAATGCAAATTTGTTTCATGCCCTGCCTAAGTAAACTACAAGCAAATCTGCATGAAGCAAAACTTTATGTTAATCATAGTTAAGAATAATAATTGGGACTAATTTAATCCAGAAGGCAGTAAGGGTTATCCAACACTTATATAGGGGATCACTATTTACTCAAAATACTATTTTTCCTATTTAACTTTGGCACATAACTTTAGAAACCCATAACTTGAACACAAAAAGTGGGAAATGAAAAAATTAAAAGAAAAAGTTACTTTTTCTGAAAAATAAGAAGTTAATTATAGTTAAATAAGGTCAAACAGATTCATTTGATCCTTTCAAATTTTTAAGGAGGACCTCATCATAGCTATAAGTTAGGTCATGATGCTGAAGTTTTGGTTTATTGGGTACATATTAAACCAATAATGATGCAAAGCCTTCTTCCTTGTTGCATGTGGTAACCCACCCTATATTAATTGCAGTTTCCATTTTATCTCCTGTAAGAACCCAAATCTTTAGCCCAGCTTGTGCCAATTTGTCTATGCATTGAGGGACCTGATGGATGGGAATAAGGTCACAATTATAATTACGACAAATTACAACAAAATTCTATTAGTTGATTAATGTGATCATTGAAGAGAAAAGATGAAATGATAAACATACTCCTTTCTGCAGTTTATCCTCCACGGCAGTGGCACCTACAAGAATAAGATCTCTTTCCATCAAATCAGATATCCTCTCAAGCATTGCTTCCCTATCACCTCCAATTGAGGTTTTTGCCTTTGTGAATTCTTCATTCCATGCAGAATACTCTGCCTCTTCTAGCTTCTTGTATGCAAGGGCAAGTGTGCGCAGTCCAGCTTCCCCATAATCATTCAAATGCTTTGTCGTTGCCTCTAGATACATTCTCCCATTTTTTGACAATCTCTCAAATATAATGCTGTGGAACTCACATAAATAGCATGGATGTGTTAATATCATTTTTTATGTAATTAATTAAATTTAAACTCCCTAATCTTTGTACCAAAAAAATTAGTACTCCATCCGTCCTTTAAAGAACTTCATGTTTTGCTTTTGTAGATGTCCCAAATAAAGTCTTTTTTCCTTATTTGCTAAACAAATTTCTATCAGCTTACTCTACTGTGCTCTAGTAATAATGATTGCACAGTGTCAAATAATGTTCAAGTTGTCAAACGGTGTCAAAATAATGTACTCTACAATAAAATTTACACACACTACAAAGGACATTTCAGGAAGTCAGAAAAGAAAGAAAAATTACTTCCTTAAAATGCCTACTATTCAAAGTATAAAATTTATATTGGGAAAGAGTGAGTACTTTCCAAAAAGACGCATGCATTAAGGAGCCCTATGAAATTACCATTCTAACCTTTGTTATGTTTAACATTTAATACATTTATTTCTTTTCAATATGGAAAGAGTTAATGAGATAATAAGGACCTAGTTGGAATAGTAGTAATAAAAATATGTATTGAATTCTTAAATCAAAATTATTTTGGGACGGTTATTTTCCAAAACAGCAATTAAGATGGGATGGAGGGATTAAAAATATGGAACAAGAAACGTTTGGATGGTGCCTTTTATTACTTCTTAATCCACAAATATTCACATCTGAGTATTAAGCAAATTTTATTGGAAGCATATAAATCATGTACTTTCTCAAATTGCCCCTTATAAAGATCCCAAAATGCAAATCTGGTCAATACAACACAATTAAATCAAAACATATATAGGCTTTGAGCTCCAAGGTTATTGAAGTTTGGTGTGAGGAGAGTCCATGAAGAAACTACAGTAATATAGTGATGGCAATGAACTCACCTGTCTGCTCCTTTGCAGAAAAGAAAAATTTGTCCGCTCTCATCCCGGATTATAACGGACATTCTCTTCCTCTTGCTTGTGAAGTCCAACAAATTGAGAACTTTAACTTCCCTAAATATTGGCATAAAAAAGGGAAGGGTAGAGGAAAGTAAGATTCATTATCAAATATATTCAAGAAAATTCTTATAGGTCAACTCGGGCCACAACTCCTACTATGAACCAAGCTACAAACTACAGAAATGTTGATAATGATTAAATATGTGTCATACTTTTTATATGAAAATAATGATTATAATGGATGTGTCATCTCTTGATTGATTTGGTGTTGCACTATTATGGCTGTGAAACATGTAGACCTATAAGAATTTCCTTTATAATAGAGAATTCTAGCTTTAAGTCACTCCGTTGAATACATAAAATTTCACCTTTCAACAGGCTCATGAAAAGAAGGATATCTTTCACGGACAACAATGCTTGATTGAGTTCTTTTACAAAACTCAAACCCAAATTCTCTAGCCGCAACAAGAAATGAACCCTCATCCGGTGACTCAGCTTCATAGTTGAAGAAACCGGCCTCCTCATTAAATTCGGGAATCGCGGTGTGACAAATCGACAGTATCCTGAAGAATAACAATATGACATCGGCATTTGGTTCATTTATCCAATTCCCATTCATCAGTTGGTCATCCTCAAAGCTAAACCCCTTAACACAAGGTTTTTTTTCATCCTCATCTCGACAAGTTACGACCGTCTCCAACTCAATATCTGATGCCCCATCAAACCCAGTTCCACGAGGCGTGCTCTCAAAAACATCTTCATCATCATTTTCCATTGCCATCTGCTTAGCGGCCGCAAGTTCCACGTCACTAGCACGTTTTCCATACGGGGTCCCACCAATGGAGCATTTTAAGAAATCCATCTGATTGCATGTCAATGTACCCGTTTTGTCTGACAGGATGGTGTCAACCTGGCCCAGCTCTTCGTTTAGATTTGACGTTCTTGCTTGAGCAGGAGTCCCAGACTCTTCGTCATACATATGAACATCCTGGTTTATGAACAATGCTTGTAAGACCTTCACAACTTCAATGGAGACGTAAAGGGATATGGGTATTAAGTATCCATATAATAAAAGAGCTGTGACTAGATGAAATATCCCAGACAACTCTGGTTTGTTTGGGTTATAGAGGATGTTACTCTTATCCTCAGGTTGAAGATACCACCAACTAGGCATCTGGAACTTCGTCTTTAGAGCAAAACCGATTGAACTAATCAAAGAAATCAAAACTAGGAGGGTGAAAAGGACATAAATGATTTTGTCCATCTGTCGTTCGATTTGACTCCTTTTTGAAGGTGATTTTGTTGAGTTTTGCATGACTTTGCTGTCTTGCCCGGTGAATATCACAGCTCCGTACACATAAGCTGTGTTCCTAAGCTTTGAATCTCTAAGCAAGATTTGACTAGGGTCAAGAGGGTAAACTTGTCGCTCATATTCAAGATTACCAACAAAAGTGTAAAGATTTGGGTTTGGATCTTCACATTTTATAACTGCTCTGAATTCCTTGAATGCTTCATCGTCTTCCAAGGGCAACGTTACCTCCAAAGCTCTTTTTACCTGTAAAATTAAGTTGAAAGTTTGTCTAAGGATTAATAGATATATATTAGCTACCAATTTTTAGGCTTTTTAAAATAGGATCAAGTAAAATCTAGCTAGGGGTAGCATAAACATGTTTGGGGTCATATTGGAGAAAAGTTTCTTTTCACCTTCAAGTTTGTCTCCCCATCTAAGTTCATCGTCTCCACATAACAGATTCCATCTTCATAACTGGAAGAGAGAAGTAATAAATCTGCAGGGAAAAATCGATCCTTTTCCACTTTGACAATATCTCCAACCCGAAGCTTCATCCATGGCTTATGACCAAAACACCCACTATCTCTTTTGTGAACAGTGGCTTTGCGCAAATTGACCTTCATGTCTTGGATGAATCTATTCCAGTCTTCCAAAGCTTCCTTTACCATACTCAAACCAACAACAAAGACCAAAGGGGCAATCATACTGACAGCCGAGAAGGGTGAGACCGGTGTGAGGGACAGAATGGCAGCAAGGAGGAAGTACAAGTTTGCAACACGCCTGAATTGCTCAAATATGGCCTTGGGTATGAACGTGATGAAATTGTATTTTGTGGTTGAAATGTAATTTGTACAGTATTTGAGGGGTTTCACATCATGCACTTGGGGTTGGTTACAATGCACTACTCGTGAAAATCCGGGGCCTAGCCGGTGGGGTCCCACCTCCTCTGCAGATCGCGGCCGGATACATGCAAAGGTGTATAGATTGCTCCGGCGAAGCTTTGCCCTTATCCTGCCTCTTGGCATTTTTTGTTTTTTTTTTAAGTTGATTGCTCACTCTACTCGAGCAGTTCAGCCATTAAAACACCACCGCATGCTGCAAAGCATACCTGAGTATAAATCATCAACATTCATTAATACCTATGCATAAAAGAAAAGATTTATCAACAACAGGGCCGGTCCTGTCCTATTTTGGGCCTATGGGCGATATACTATTTTGGCCTTATTTCCAAGATAAACCGTAAATTATACTCACTTAAAGTAAAAATTACGGAGTATAATAAAACTATGAGAAATTACTCTAGATATGACTAGAGACATTTGTATATTCCAAACTAAGACAATCATGTTTTTATTCCCTAAATTTAAGTAATTACTGTCATATTTTGATAGTATCATACTTTACACATGGTAGTATTTTCCGAACATGACAGTAATAACTCATATTCAGAAAATAAACACATGACAGTCCTATTTTGAACTATCTTTTAAAGGTTATAAAATAAAGATGAAATTCATCTTCATATTATTTGAATTACATATTTGGACAAAAAGTAACAACACAAGCATCACAAAAGAACAATGTGAAGTAAAATCATCAATAATTGCTTTATAATCAATCTTTTTTTTCAAGATCATATGTGCAATGTTTAAAATTGCTAATCCATTAAGTTTTTTGAGGCATAATAGATGATTGGGATGATGTTTGAGAATTGGGAGGCACTGACAGTCGAGAGACAATAATATAAATCGGTAATTTTTTAATTAAAAAGAATAAAAGTCTAGACAATAATATAAATCGGTAATTTTGTAATTAAAAAGAATAAAAGTCTTAAAGGCTAAAAAGATGTGAAGAGACGTGCTTTTATTGATTCAACAACAAATGTGTTGACTTACAACTAACTCTATTTAAAAATCAAAACTAAATTTATATTCTTTTTTAGAACTTGTCTAGCTCCATTCTAGACTTTTTACTTATGTTTTAAAATTTTCAAATCGTCAACAAAAATTACACATTAAGGCTAATTAATTAATGGAAATTATAAATAAAAAAAGAAGCATAGTCAGATTATGTATAAAGAAAAAACTTGGGCCTAATTTTCTTTCTACATTATTTTGGGTCTAGGGCGGTCGCCCTTGCTGCCCTCTCCCTAGGACCGGCCCTGATCAACAAATATGTATATGCATTCAACATTTATGTTCAAAGTATCCCATCAAAATATCAAGGAGATAACACATTAGCTTATATGACCCTTGAGTTAGACTACTTATTGATGGAATCTGATATTTTAATGTCTTCTGGCGCAAGTACATTATTCTATCTAGTCATATGAGATGAAAAAACTAATAAATCAACAACATATCAAAAGCTCTACGTGAAATTCAGCATGCATAAGAAATGGTGTGTCCTAAATGAATTGAGATGGCGCAATTGAGAGATAAATATAATGAAAGAATTGTCGAAAGTTCACTGGCGGACAAATATATGCAAATTAAACGAATCTTGATTATAACATTAAATTTAATAAGAGAGTTACAACAAACAGATTAAGAAACTATGTACCTCCACACATTGAAATTTCACATCTAAACATTCAAATACTTTAGTTTGTATAGAAACCGGCTTCAAAATCACCATATGGAACTTTCACCGAGATTAAAATGAACATAGTCCGCACGTTGCATAGAGATGGAAATTCATGAAATGCATGGTGTTAATGATACCAGAAATAAGGAAGAAGATGAAATCCAGAAGCAAACCTAGAAAGGTAGGTGACGAAGGGATGGAGATGGCAAGGAAAGAAAAATGAAATGAAACAGAGCATCTCCATGTTCCATGTCCGGACCAATTTTCCAGCATTTTAGGAGACTCTCGTGCTCTCCTCCCTCACTCTTGCTCGCATAAGCATTCCTCTATTTCGTATTTTCTCATTCCTGTTTATTGTGGTTTTTATTACTGACATGGGATTTTTCTTTTCTTTTTAATAATATATACGTAATAAATGTATGTATAATTGTATATACAAGGAGTCCCAAGAAAGAAATAAAAATGGTGGGGAGAGAATAGTAGCCTTTGATTCAAGCAAAGGGATGACTACAAATAAAAAATAGTAATAAAAATAAAGGAAACCTATTAATTATGGATAATTAGTGGAGTATTTAAAATGAAAATATGTATAACAATGATTATTAAAGGGCTCATGTGTAAAAACACTATGTTGATACACGTGAGTAATAAATTTGGGAGAGCTTTTCGGTTACAAACAATTTGCACCTCTTATTTTACAAATTCAGATCACTCAATTAGTTTTCATTTATGTTTTGTCTGATGAAATTTGTAGCCATGAACAAAACCATTACTTTTCAGTTACAAACAATTTGCACCTCTTATTTTACAAATTCAGATCACTCAATTAGTTTTCATTTATGTTTTGTCTGATAAAACTCGTAGCCATGAACAAAACCATTACTGCAGCAGCTATAAAAACTACACTTTACCATCATTAGAATAATGTGACATTAATATATCACTTAATCGTTAAAAATAATTCTATTATGCACCAAAAAATATTTGAAGCGCACTTTATAAAGATCTAATAAAATATGTAATTTTTACATAAAAAATCCTTTCTCCAAATTAAATATTTATTTGAATAAATCACACATATTAGTACATATTATTTACGTAAAAAGTGCAGATCTCAGAGGGCCTACTTTAATAAATCATTTCATATTTACCGAAATGTGTACAACATAATTAGATTATTACTTTCATGCACTCATCATATATTCTTCATGCACTTTTCATCATTTTTTTTTACCTATTTTGTAGATACAATTGACACTAAAAGACACCATCATAATTAAATTATAGAAATTGCTTAATATAGGACTAAAATGTTGACAAAGTTTAAAAATAAAACTCATGAATTTTATATCTCAAATTTGACTTATTTAATTATTAAAAGAATAAAATAGACTAAAATTTCCCACTATAAGAGTGAATGAGTCCTATTTTGTAAATATCTTTCTTTTAGTTCTTTTTAGGGAATTTTCTAATTAAATAATTATTGTGCATGAAAGGAAAATTGCTTTTTCTCTCTACAAATGTCAATGTAACATTTCATTAATTTGATATAACAGTGTCGACATAGAATTTTTCCAAGTGTGATATGATAGTGATTTTTTTTAAATGTACACAATAGTTGTTAATTTACATTTGTGTATATTTATTTTCATTTTATTTATAAATACATGGAAGTGCATAAATATTGAGAGTAAAGTGTTGATTATAGAATGTCCAAGCTAATGAAATAAGAGTAAAGGAAAGTATAATAAAAGTATTATTTCTGTTTAGATTCATTTCACTGATGAATGATGTTAATTCTTTAAATGACTATTAATGAAAAATAAACATATATTATTTCTAAATAGTTAGTGCAACTAACGGGAAAAAAAATAAACTAAAACGCATCAAATCAAATGGACAAATAAACGAATAATGAAAAAATACATATTAAAACAAGTTTAAAAAAATAACGAGAAACAAACACTACATTCGTGCCCCTAACATTGGGAGAAAAGGGAGTAGTATGGTAATTAACCAAAGTAAAATTGTTTAAATGGTATTGAATTGATAAAGTTTAAGTAAAGTATGAATGAATATTAGACGTCAAATGTTATAAAAAATGGTATGAGACAAAGTTAATGGGTAGACAAAAAAGGTAAAATGGGAAAAAAGAGTGGACACATGAAGTATTAAGTAAAACAAAATAATTTAAAACTACGCAACATTCTCGACTAATATGAAAATTGTGATGTAGGAGTACGAAAAACATTCCAACTCATTAATTAACATATGAGAAATTTGATTGAAAAGGAAAGCAAACAATTAATGCATTCAAATGTTGCAAATGAAATATTGATTAAATTTCTCATGTTAAGGACGTACCAGTAAAGGTCTCTCTTTACTTAGAGTTCTCTCTTCTCTCTAGAGAGAGAAGAACCCTGTGGCCGTCTCCCTCTTTGTAGGGTTAAGATTTTCCGTCGCCCTTATCAATATGGGGTTGGAGCGGCATATTATATTGATTTTAAGGGCTCTAGTGCTTGGGATTGCAACTACGTCGGAGGAGATACCATTGGCGGATGAACGAGGTGCGGCTGAGAGGTTGTATCGAGGCGAGATCGTGAATCTTTGGTCGGCCATTTCGACGGTGGTGGAGTTGGTATTCACCCATATTGTAAGAGTTTGTCCTCCTCTGGAACCATATGGAAAGATTTTATTTCAGTATTATTTTCTCTTTAGTAGCACTTGTTTTTGTTTTAGTCCGAGTAGATTTGGTTTGAATGTTTGGATTTTTAGAATTCTTTTGATCGTTTTAGGCCTAAATTTGCTCGTTTCTGGTTTAGCGAGTCATGTTGCTTTGTATGAGGTGACTGACTCTAAGTCTACTCCTATGGTTTACGATTGGATCTGTAAATTCTGTCTGAAGGTTGTCGATCTTGTATGTGTTCTCGATTTTAATATAACGGTCACTCTTTCATGATAAAAAAAATGATTCAAATGAAATGGTATTAAAATGAAGACGGAACAGTCGTTCGCCACTGCCATTCGAGGTAGTTCCTAATGCATCTTTTAATGAAATTTTGTGAGCATGTTCTTCATGAAGAGTAGATTATGTTCACAAAAATTGAACTTAATATTAGGTCAGAAAGTCAATTAAATAAAAAAATTGAAAAACATTACACCAATATATATATATATATATATATATGTATGTATAAATCATGGTGTTTTTTAATAATTTATTTAACTGAACTATTTATTGAGTTTTGTGTTGATTTGTGGAAATAATTTACTACACTTCATAAAAACATACTGATAAAATGTATTCAAAAAACTCCACTGGAAACCACCTCAAATGACGGCAGCCAGACAACAATTTTGATCAAGAAATCCTTGGGAGAAAATCTCGTTGTATGTATGTATATATGTATGTATGTATGTATGTATGTATGTATGTATGTATGTATGTATGTATATACTCTTTCTATTTCAAATTTTATTGCCTTTCTGTTAGAGGGTTTGTCATAAATATGATTGAAATTTAACTTGTGGATAAAAATAATATTGTAGTATATATGCATATTATATTGCAATTTTGCTGATTATATTAACCATTGTTAATATCCTAAGAGTTTCATTTATTTACTAAAAAATCGAGAAGCTATTAGAACCATTTTTGTACTACTCCTTCCATTTTTGATTGTTTTAATTAATCTTCATTTTAGATTGTTCCAAAATGAATGTCTTGTTCTACTACATCATTTAGCTTTAGAGCCTGTTTGGTAATACCCAGATCGGCTGTATTTGCCGATTCAGCTGAAATTTATGAAGTTCTGGCTGAAGTAGTTGTATTATTGGTTGATTCTGCTGATTCATGAAAAAGTTATATATAAAATATATTTTATTAGTAAAATAAAGAAAAAATCACATGAAAATAGCTAAAATGATCATCTACAGTAACTTCAGCCAATACAGTAAGAAAGTAACTTCAACCTTACTTTTTCTTACTATTACACAGAACAGCGCGAGAAATCAAAATTTACGTGTTTGGTGAAAAAATTGGTTGATAAGCACGATAAGCCGAAAAATAGGGTTACCAAACGGGTTCTTAATCTACTCAAATCTTAACCACAATTTTTTACTTTTTAACCACTTTATTAATAACTTTTTGGACAAAGGTAGTCAGGTAGTAGCTTCTAACTTTTGACTTTAAAGTACTCCCTTCGTCCCTTTAAATTTCGTCAAGTTTGATCGACACGAGGATTAATAAATTAAAATTGTGTAGTTGAGGTTTGTGTAGAGGAGAGAAAATTAGCTGGAATCACAAATTTTTACTTAAAATAGAAAGCGGCAAATTGAGTAGAACAAAGAAAAAAAGAAAGTTAACAAAATTTTTAAAGAAGAAAGGAGTTTTTGAATAGGTGTTTGCAAACACTAATTTTAACTTTTTTAAAATCAAATGACAAAAAAAACTCATTTTAATCTATTATGATGTTTTTACTTGGACTGTAATTTGTCCCATACTAGACCAGACCAGATCAGACCAGACTAGACTTGAGTAGTTATAAAAATCCAAAGAAACCAGACCAGTTCAGATCAGACCAGACAACATCAGACCAGACTAGCAAATTACCGTCCAAGTAAAAACATCTTTACTTTGCGCTAGGTAAGAACGAGTCTATTACATAGGGGCGGGACACCAAGCCATTTTTACACCAGTGTTTTGCCGTAAAATTGTTACTCCGTAGTCCGTATAAGGAATACATATTACATACGATAGTATATATTTTTGAACCATCATTTTGTGTTATTTAAATTGTCAATTGAATCAACGAACATTTAGTTAGTGCTTTCAATTGAGTAATTAAGTCCAAATTCAACTTCAAGCAATATTATTCATACTCTAGTTTTTATTTCAAAACTAGTACTTCAAATAATATTGTTTGAATGTATAAATAAGTTCGATTTTAGATACTCCATATATTTTTTATAAGGGAGTACAAAAGAAGCTAGCATTCAAGCATGGCCGAATGGAATAACTAATTAATGAGTACGTACGGCAAGTTTTCAAACATTCCATTTGGAATTAAAGCAGAAGATCAGACAAAACATGCTAACAATTAATGTTGTGTGACTTGGTTTGATATACCATGTAGGAATGTAGAACATGGGGTAAGCAATCTTCCTAATCAAGTGTAGACTTGGTTTTATCCATTTAAAATGTTCAATTCATCTCAACAATAAAAAAAATGATAAACTGCGGCGTGCTTAAAAAAACTCGTTTTTTCTAAATACGCCAAGCTCAAATAAAACATCGTTTTTTCTAATTTTCATGTCTGTCTTTGAAAATGTGGATTGGTCGTTTGAG